AAATTGAAGATCAGGACTTCGCATCATAAATTAACCTCCGAGTATTAGAGATGCTTGTGCCACCACAAAACAAAAGTTTGCTCTCAAGACTTAATCTCTGAGAACATGCCCAATCTAAATCATTATCGTATCTTCGAAAGTTCCAATTGTTGTACTTCAGTTGGAAGTTGAGATAATATCACGTGCTTATTGTTCCTTTGCTATATTCTAGTGTGACTGATTGGTTATATCATTGTACCTATAACAACTATTGCTTGATAGCGTCAAGTATTGAGCTAGTTAATAAGTTGATGAACAATATCTGATTGTCCCTCTTTCTCTCTCAGTAGGACTTTGAGTGTCCGTTAGATAACCATCTTGTGCTTTGTCCTGTGCCCCTCAAAGAAGCTTGATGGGTTCCAGATTCCCATCTCATCAGCTCAGCAATGGTCTATACGTATCAGGCAGGCCTGAGCAGCCAAAAGAAAGAGCACCTACGATGGGCTCAACGGCCATGCCCTATACTGGTGGCGATATCAAGAAATCAGGGGAGCTGGGAAAAATGTTTGATATCCCTATGGACGGGTCCAAGTCTAGGAAATCTGGACAACTAACCAGTGCCCCTTCAAGGACTGGATCATTTGGAGGTGCTGCTTCTCATTCAGGTCCCATTATGCCTAATGCTGCAGCTCGAGCTAACTATACGACATCAGGTCCTGTATCTTCTGGAGGCATGACTGGTTCTACTTCAGTAAAAAAGACTAATTCTGGGCCACTCAATAAGCATGGGGAACCATTGAAGAAGTCTTCTGGCCCTCAATCTGGTGGAGTGACACGTCAGAACTCGGGCCATATTCCACCAGTTCTTCCCACAACAGGTCTTATCACGTCTGGACCCATATCTTCAGGTCCACTAAATTCCTCTGGGGCCCCTAGAAAGGTATCTGGACCTTTAGAGTCTATGGGATCAATGAAATTACAAAGTTCCTCTGTTGCTCACAATCCAGCAGTGACTACTCTTGGCCAAGATGATTATTCTTTCAGAAAGAACTTCCCAAAGACAATATTGTGGTCTGTGATACTGATATTTGTGATGGGGTTCATAGCTGGTGGTTTTATTCTTGGAGCGGTCCACAATGCCATACTCCTTGCTGTTGTGGGAATTCTTTTCGCTGCAGTTGCTGCTTTGTTCACTTGGAATACTTGTTGGGGAAGAAATGCTATCGTAAATTTCATTTCTCGTTATCCTGATGCTGAGCTCAGAACTGCTAAAAATGGGCAATATGTGAAAGTCTCTGGGGTATGTAACATAGCCAATGCTGATATAATATCTTATAGTTATACATCCTCTTGTTGGTTTATCTGCTATTGATATTTATGACTATAGAAATTCTACTTTTAGTTTGCACTTTTCTTCCCCGCCTTGGATCTCAAATAACATCACCAAGTAGTTGTTTTTCACTTTGTGCTTGTGTCTGTTCCACCTTACTTAAAACTTCGTTTAGAAGATTTATTTATGTTTACCTTTAATTCATTTGTGCTCTCAAACAGTGATATAGAATCTATAGATTTGTTGTGACTGTGAACATAGCCTGGCTGGTATTTGTTGTGCAGTGGTTCATCACCTGTTGTCATTTTTTCTGCATAAATAGTATGCTGAAGTTTAGATGTTATATGCTTGTGTAATTCTTGAAGGTGGTTACCTGTGGTAATGTGCCCCTTGAGTCATCCTTCCGGAGAGTTCCTAGATGCGTGTACACATCTACAAGTTTATATGAGTACCGAGGATGGGATTCAAAACCAGCAAACCCTACACATCGTCGATTTACATGGGGACTTAGATCATCAGAGGTGAGTAAATGAGAAGTGACAAATTTCCTTTGAAATTATGTTGAAGGGATAATTGTATTGGAGAACCATACCAATATGGATATGGGTAACTTTTGAATACTCTGCAACAAGTATCTGATTATAAATAAATGGATTTCGATTTTGAAAATAATTTTGTTGACACTAAACTTTTTAGATTTTTGAGATGTATACAGTACTTGATACCCCTAAACACATCGTAGCTATTCACATTCTTTAAAGTCATAATTAGGCTGTTTTTGATAGTTTAAATAAAGAATTTGAGTTATTAGTATAATGGTATGTATTAATATAGGAAGGGTGTGCACTCTTTTAAAAAAACAGGGTTTATGATGCACACCACCCCAATGACCAATGTGTAGATGAAAGGTCCATATTGTACTTCATTCTCATAAAAAATGATAGATTCATACTTATTGCTTAAAATATGTGTTCATAACTTCTTTTTCATGCTTAATGGCCTTATAATTTTAGTAGGATTGTGATATGTTTTAGTCATTTTATCCTCACAGTTAGGGACCTTTTCTTTCCAAAAATAAAGATAGAAAAAGAAGAACGAAATTTAAAGGATATGCATGTAGGTGAACTGGATGATTGCCTTTGCAATGTAGATACTAGACATTTTAGTTACATTTCCTGACTTCGAAGCTTCTTCTTAAAATCCTTTTTCTTTAAAAAAAGAAAAAGATTTCCTTCTCACATAAAATGTCTTAGTTAACAATTGGAGGGCCAATGTGGCAGTATCATGCCATGCTGTAACTTTTGAGGTGTAAGATTTTTAATGTTGAACTGTACTAATTTGTTTATGTTGCTTGACAGAGGCACATAGTGGACTTCTACATCTCTGATTTCCAGTCTGGGTTGAGAGCATTAGTTAAGACTGGCTATGGTGCAAGAGTTACTCCTTATGTTGATGAGTCTGTCATTATTGATGTTAACCCAGAAAACAAAGACATGTCTCCAGATTTTGTCAGGTGGTTGGGAGAGAGGAATCTTTCAAGCGATGACCGTACGATGCGATTGAAAGAAGGGTAGAAACCTATTGCTTATTTAATTTTTAGGTTCTTATAAATATTCTTAATGAAAACTGTTTTCCCTTCTTTTGAGGGGGTTTTGGAAAATGCATGAATCAGTTGTATTACTGGTTTAATCCAAGTGCATCTTACATAACTGCAAGTGATGCCCTTGTGTAGGTACATCAAGGAAGGTAGCACAGTTAGTGTGATGGGAGTTGTCCAGAGAAATGACAATGTGCTTATGATTGTCCCTCCACCAGAGCCTTTGACAACTGGATGCCAATGGAGCAATTGTACTTTTCCGGCTAGCCTTGAGGGGGTTGTTTTGAGATGTGAAGACTCATCAAAAAATGATGTCATACCCGTTTAGTTGTTTGTGCTCCAGAAAACGTTTTCGGGTATATTGCTCTTTTGAAAAATATTTTGTTCACAATGTCAAAATTGATGGTGGATGGCAGTGGTGGTGTTGTAGTGATGAACAGTGATGAGCTTGATGGTTTAAGATGACGTGATTTTTTTTTTTTCTCTCCTTGTGTATAGATTTTAGAAATTTCTTATCCATTGTTTTTCCTAGGGTTTGAAAATTTCTGTAATGGTGTGGCTTCATGTAGTGGGAATTTTACCAGCTTGAGAAGACTGTTATAAAGGAAAGTGTTATATATTCATCAGTTTTTTTTATGTTGAAGTTCCCCTCTCTCTCTCTCTCTCTCTCTCTCTCTCTCTCTCTCAGCCGTTTGCAACCTAAACAAAAAGCTTTGGTTAAGAAGCTTCCAGCCTGGAGAAGGGAAAGGGTCTTGTTCTAATGCAATCTCTCACCAGAAAAATTAAAATTTGTGTAGTTTCTGGCCTAAACAAAATGAAGGAACGTGTGCAATCTCTCTTGAACTGCGTGGGGGCAATTGGCCAGTTCATGATTCTCCTTTTCCCTATTTTCACGGATGCCAACTCATTATATAAATCGAAGGATAACTTAGAGAGTTTGAGAATTCTTCCCAATATATAGAAGCAAGAAAATGTTCAACTTTCTTTCCACGGATTTAAGGGTCTTTTGGTAATACTCTCAATTTGGTTTTCAGTATTTATTTTTAGTATTTTTTTTTTTTTTGGGGTCGAATTTTTAGTAAAAGATAGAGAAAATGCATGGGAGAAAATAGGGAGAAAAAAAAGGTAGAAGGAAGGGGAGGAATGAATGAGGGATAAAATGTGTATGGAAAAAAAGAGGGCAAAAACTAAAAGCAATTCTAAATAATTTTCATTTAAGGTCGCTATTGGAGTTTTAAGTAAAAATGAGTAGGCACATAGAAATGAAAGTGTTACCAAATAAGAGACTATTAGCAGCTGGTTTACGAGCGCACTTTATGCTGACTCGTGTTTCTTTGCATTGCTGGTGATAAAGTATAAATACCCTCAATCAACGTTGTTTCTTTTGAAATTTATTGGGCATATTATGTTATCAAATTCTGAATGTGACAGATATATACATTGCTGATCAATTGACGTGTAGAAGAAGAAAAAAAAAATAAACGAATTTGCCTTCAGATATGTGTCCACTTAGTTTTCTATATATTTCTCTTGGAGTTTATTTAGAATGTTACGTTACATGGAAATTTGACATCTTATCAAAATACGCTGTATATATTGATAGTTGAGCAACATAACATTTTATATTGACATTTCCCTACGAGCATATCTTAACTAAGTTGACATGTACTCATTAATGATTAGTTCTTACTTATCAACTCTAATCTTTGAAACATCTACAATTTTAATTTGTTATATAGAGATTGCATACGATTGAATTGTTCTCATCCAAACCTAACTTAGCATGTTGAGAGAAGGGACATGAGTGTGAGACCCAACATATCCGTGAGGTAAATTTTTTTTTATGATCCTGTGACCACTCACTAGTTTTGTACATTACCATTGTATTGTAACAACCCAAAGGGTCCAAAACAGACCAAAATATAAATGATAAAAAGAAGAAAAAAAATAAAAATTGAAAATAGCCCCACAAAAGCTATCGAGGAGAAATATGTCATTTTAATAGGAAATGTACAGTTTTTTTTTTTTTTTTTTTGGGGGGGGATATATATTGAGATGTACAGTAGAGCTGTAGACTGTAAGACTGAGCTATATAATAATTCCTATATAAAATTTGTATACCTTGGTACTAAAAGTAATCACATTTTTCTTCGAGTTCGGAGGTTTTGGCCGGACGAGACAGCAACACCCACCAGTTGTTGCTTGCGCCTCTCTCAAGTCTCAAGTGAGAGAGAGACAGAGAGAGAGAAAAACAAACACAAACCCAAAAGAAGATTTTAGAGAGAGTCTCAGATTTTTCTTTTTGGTTCTATTTGTCTTTATCAGTCAAGCCATGATGTCTCCAAATCTCCAGATTTCAGCTCCTACTGCTTCTCCTTCAGGTATGTGAACAATTTTCCTAATTGTCATTTGGTTCCTGCCCCTGCTTTTCTCTCTCAGTCAGCTACTCTTTGACTGTGATAGTTTTATTGTCAATATCTGCTTGTTTTCTTAGATCTTTTCGATTTTCTTACTGTTTGCTCCAAATGGTGATTTGGGTATGCTTTGTTTTCTTGATTTGGGCTGTAAGAGTGGCCATTTGGATGGTTGGTCCTTCAAGATGGTGTCATTTTGATGAAATTTTCCGTATACGGAAGGTTATGTTTCTTTGAATCTGGGTTGCTTATATTTCTCCGAGTTTGTCTGGTTTTTGAGAAAGTGGAGGTAGAGAAATCAAAACGACAAGTTTGAATTTTCTTTTTGTTGCATTGTGACTTGATATAGCTAAAACCCCCCACTGAACTCTCACTTCAAATCTGTACTTGTATTCTAGATCTTTTTCATGTCTTTGATTTATGTGCAAAATGTTGATGTGGACATGCTTTGTTACTCTGTTTTGACCCTGTGGTATAAATTTAGTTTTCAAACCTTTCTAAAAATAGAAGATTCTGATACTTCCTTTTTCCTAATTTTGTAATTATTGTTTCTGACCTATTTCATGATTATCTTGTTTGAAATTGTTTTGAACAGATCCTGTAATTAATTCATTCGATCCATGATATTGTTCTTTTGAGTTTGGATGGCGTTTCAAAATGATAATACTGCCTTCATTTTATAAATGTAAATGTGCATATGATTTTTGGACTGTAGATTCTTACATGAATCGACATATAAAATAGTCTCCACTCAAACTCAACTAAGATACTCTGAAACAGCTTTTGCTTGTTGTTTTGACTTCATTTGCTTAATCTTCATAACAAGATGTTATGTATGCGCAGCACATTCACATTCATACACACAGAGATTGGTTTTGTTTCCTTGACTTCTATAATAACACTGTTTGGTTCCTTGGGTGGTTGGTGTTTTAGTCGCAGAAATCATATCCATATCTTCTAAACAAGATATTTCTTGTACGTTCTCCGAAACCCCACTTTTCTATTATCTCTAGTGTTTTTAATAGAGGACAATGGCTGTAAAGATTGTACAAGTAAATATAGATTGTCCAGAAGATGGCATGCGTGTTGACTATTTCAGTGGTGTATAAATTAGGTGTGCATTGTGATAAATTTTCCAGGGCATACAAATAAAGTATATAATCTTTAGAAATGTTTTAGCTTTACTAGAAATCTAAGATGGTACTGCGTTTTAGTTCCTTTGTGACCTTTCTTTATTGGTCAGTGAAAACCTTTATTTTCTCTAACGTACTACTAGTTCCCTTGCAATCTCTAATTCATTTATGTGTTACTATAGTGTGAGCGGCTGTAGCTGTGGGTTACTGTTTTGGTTTTTGGATAAGCAATGGGTTATATTCTAACTGTTGCAGTGCTTTTTTTTTTCCTAGGAGGATCTCATCAGTGAATTCTATCTGCTAGTTGAGTTTATTGTTTAATATCTTGTGGGATCTTTCAAAGGAGCTAGATGGGTTCCAGATTCCCATCTCATCAGCTCAGCAATGGCCTTTACGTATCAGGCCGGCCAGAGCAACCAAAGGAAAGGACTCCAACTATGAGCTCAGTTGCTATGCCCTATACTGGTGGAGATATCAAGAAGTCGGGAGAACTAGGAAAGATGTTTGATATCCCTATGGATGGCTCTAAGTCTAGAAAATCTGGACCTATAACTGGTCCTCCTTCAAGGACTGGATCTTTTGGAGGTGCTGCTTCACATTCAGGACCAATCCCTAATGCTGCAGTTCGTGCTGGCTATACCACATCAGGTCCCGTATCATCTGGAGGCATGCCTGGTCCAGCTTCCGTAAAGAAGTCAAATTCTGGACCGCTAAACAAGCATGGGGAACCTCTTAAGAAGTCGTCTGGTCCTCAATCTGGTGGGGTAACACCAACTGGCCGCCAAAACTCTGGACCTCTTCCTCCTGTTCTCCCTGCAACAGGTCTCATTACATCTGGACCCATTTCTTCTGGCCCACTAAATGCTTCTGGGGCCCCTCGTAAGGTATCAGGTCCTTTGGAGTCAATGGGATCAATGAAAGCACAAGGTTCCTCCATTGTTCACAATCAGGCCATTACTACTCTTAGCCAAGATGATGAGTTTTCATTTAGGAAGAGCTTCCCAAAGCTAATATTATGGTCTTTGATTCTACTTTTCGTGATGGGGTTCATAGCTGGTGGTTTTATTCTAGGTGCAGTCCACAATGCATATCTCCTCATTGTGGTTGTGATCCTTTTTGGTGCAGTTGCTACACTATTCACATGGAATACTTATTGGGGAAGACGAGCTATTATAGGTTATATTGCTAGCTATTCAGATTCTGAGCTGAGGACTGCGAAGAATGGGCAATTTGTGAAGGTCTCAGGGGTAAGTTAATCCGTTGATGGATTCAAACATATGGCTTTAATTGTTATTGAGATCTACAAAGGAGGGTGGGATGAAGATACATGGAGGAATTTAATTGCTGGAAATACTATATCTCTATAACATTTATCTTCTAGGTTCTAATACAAACGGGTTAAGGACTTGAGTGTTTGTCCTTTTTGTTGAGCTTAGCTATTCTTATGTAAATGTTAATCAATAGTTTTCACAAGTTATATCTGGTTCTGTTATTGAAGGTGGTCACTTGTGGCAATCTGCCCCTTGAGTCGTCCTTTCAAAAGGTTCCTAGATGTGTGTATACATCTACAAGTTTGTACGAGTATCGAGGATGGGATTCAAAAGCTGCCAACCCTACACATCGTCGCTTTACTTGGGGGCTCAGGTCCATAGAAGTGAGTAACTGAAAGTCAGCTTAATGTTTCATGGATAACATATAGTATTTCTCTTTCTGCTTTTCTTTCCCCTTTTTTTTATTGGGGCGGGGGTTGGGATTTTCATAATTAACGAACTGAATTTTATTTCTCATTAACTTTCAAAATATTTAAGATTTTGCCGTTGGCTGATTTTAATTCTAGTGCCTGAACAATGCCATTGCCAATCCACTAGTTGCTATTTGAATTTTGTTAATATATTTGTTTCTAGTTTATTTGCCTTCCTGCTTGAATGTTCTGTTGCTGGAAGGAGCTATTGCATGGTGATACCAAGGGATGACTTTTGTGGCCAACAGGCTTGAAAATTCTTGGGTTTAGATTTCACACTTTTGACCAGAATTTCTAATTATGTCGTTTGACAGGGGCGTGTTGTAGATTTCTACATCTCTGATTTCCAATCTGGGTTAAGAGCATTGGTTAAGACTGGCTCTGGAGCAAGGGTGACTCCTTATGTTGATGATTCGATTGTCATTGATGTGAACCCTGAAAATGAAGAGTTGTCTCCAGAGTTTATTAGGTGGTTGGGTGAGAGGAACCTTTCAAGTGATGATCGCATGATGCGGTTGAAAGAAGGGTAATAGCTCTTTCTTACAATTAATTTACGTTGATGCCTTTTCTCTTATAATTATAAATGATAAATGCTTCTATGAGTTTTTTTCCTCATAATCTATCATTTTTATAGTTGTGTTAAACATAAATGCCCCTTATAAGGAGTTTATAATGTGCTTTCAAATATCTAGTCTTAATGTGCTTTCAAATACCGGGCAGTAGCAGTTTGTACTTTCTACTGATTTTTGCTTTTTCTCAGTTGAGGCATTAGCACGAAGTTGGGCGGCCAATATGCGGA